TTTCGCGATCTTCAACCGAGGATTTCTTCCTTATTATTGACCCAAACACTTTATAACTGCATATTTTTGACCTTCTTACGTCGAAAGGAATCGATTGAGCTCAAAAAACACTCATGTAAAATTTCGATTTTTTGCCGAAATTTTTCTAAGGGTGGAGGTCGATTTTTTGAAAAAATTAAAATTTTATCAAGATGTCTTAAATTTTACATCATTTTCAGCTCACGGACGCGAGGAATGCATCGAACTAATTGAAAAACATGCTAGAGGTTTCAAATCCGAAATAATAGACATTTTCGGCACATTTTAAGCGATTTTTCAGAGTTCACGATCTTTAGCCGACGATTTCTTCCTTATTATTGACCTAAACACTTTATAAATGCATATTTTTGACCTTCTTACGTCGCAAGGAATCGATTGAGCTCAAAAAACAGGCATGTAAAATTTTTATTTTTGGCCGTAATTTTTCCAAGGGTGGAGGTCGATTTTTTGAAAAAAATGAAAATTCCTCAAATATCATTGTCATCAATTTCAAATATCTACCCGATTGCTGAAAATGGTTTATTTCTTTACATTTTAATGTATGGAAATAGAAGAAAGAAAACGATAATAGAATTTCACTCATAAGCGGTTAGGAATAGCCGACATAAAATCTCGGAAACAAGCTCATTCAATACTATTAAGAAAATATTTTCATTAAAGAAAAATATTTAATTAAGCATTATTCAATCAGCAACCAGCTGGCAGAACATATAAATGAAATTCTTTTGGATAATATGTTGTTTTTGTTGCAGAAAGCACCTTAAGATGAACTTCAGGGAACTGCTGCCCATTTACATTTCGTTCTCCTCTTGGGTTTGCTTAGCTGTAGCTTTGACGAAACCTGACTTTCGTTATATATCACGGAAAGGTTAGTGTTCAAATTAAGCGATCAATAAATGCTTCAAGTGTACAGGGCGATTCACGTAGACCGTGCATTAGCAGTTTTCTAACTTGCAGATGTTTTAGAAACTTCAAACAAAACAAGTCGTGCCGAAGCCATGTAAAATACATTTAGCCCCTAGCGATACAGGGGGTACCAAAACGCATCACTGGAACAACTGGAACAAAAAAGTTTGTTGGTGCCAGTTAAAAAAGCTGATTTTTTTACATCGGAATCATAAAAAGTGTGCATTGAAAAAGCGGTCAATGAAATCAGTTTCGATACTTATTATGGATAAACTGCTGATTGAAGACGAACCAAATTTTCCTTTCTTCTTCTAAAAACGGAAAACTTCTAATGCACGGTCTACGTAAATCACCCTGTATAGGCACGTGCTGCAAATCAAATGGAAAAACTCATATATCCTTCTTATGTCGTAAAGCATTCTAAGCTGATATGCCGAGGCTAAGAAGCTTTTCGGAAACGATATCCAAGAAACTCTCATCACAGCAAATGTTATCAAGAGATTTAGTGGATCCACTAGATATATAAATGTACCTACTTGACCTTTTTGTGCTACCCTATCAATCTACCATGTGTATATACAAGTTGACATTTTAACAGGCATTTATTAGCGAATCCAGGATCTTGATCTGGGAGGGGCAGAGGTCATAAAAAAAGTTACATCGTTTTGTCGACGTATCGTAAAATCCAAGTTATTCTGAATTGAATTAACGTGTTTTTGAAATATTTAGTTTATTAATTTACAGAGGTGATCGTGTCGTTCGAGAAGCCACTGCAACTTAAGCAGTTTGAGCAAAAAAAAACTCCTGGATTATCCATAAATTAAGCCAAAAAACACTCACAAAGTTTGAGGCAAATTATCGTTTTCAGGCTAAATTTCAAGCAAGCGGTGTTAGTAAACTGCGCAAAACGATTTAAGTTAATAAACATTGTTTCTTTGGGTACCTAGCATGTATTCATTCCATTTGAGTCGGTTTAGATTATGACCTACATAATCTAAACCGACCCAAATGGAAACACTTCAAATTAAGCAGTTTCATAAAAAAAATCCTGGATGGTCCGTAAATTAAGCCAAAAAACACTTTTCTGAAACACACTGAAGACCTACTTCAGCAGCAAATACCATCGGACTCATTTTCTTGCATAAATCCTTGGTTTAGGAAAAGTGTTTTTTGGCTTAATTTACGGACCATCCAGGATTTTTTTTATGAAACTGCTTAATTTGAAGTGTTCTTTAAAGAAAAACTAAAAATTCGGAGGGACTCAAACGACACTATCACCTTTTTGAGTGATACAATTTTTTAGTCGTTAGAATTAAATAGAAAGTTGGGGGGTTTGCCACTGCTCTAAAGCAGATATGAATGTGCAGGTATGTTTCTGATAATGCTAACACTAATATGGGCATTACTTTAAGCGCATATTTCTGTTGGTCAACGCTGCGGTTGTATTTGATGCTAAATAGTGTACTGAATTTACTACTTATTAATTCCAGATTTGCAACAGTCCATAAAAAGCTTCTCTTTGGAGGGGATGGACCAGTACTCTCAAATAATGTTCGACGTTGCTCGAGATCAAATTATTATTGGAGCCAGGTAATATATTAACTAAAATTTTTAACGGAAAATATTTTAAAGTCGATTATTTTCAGGGACACGTTGTACAAAATGCACTTATCAAAGGTGGAGTTGTTGGAAGCTGTGAAATGGGAAGCGACCCGTGAAAAGCAACTGTCGTGCATATATAAAGGGCAGGATGAAGGCACTTGCCATAACTTCATCAAGATTCTCTTGACAAATGGCCACGAAATATTCGCATGCGGAACCAATGCCTTTTCCCCAATATGCTCTTGGAGAAATGTAAGCAAACAACCGAGAAAAAAAGCAATTTTACCCAATTTTTTAAATTTATTTCAGATTGAGGACTTATCCAACGTTACACAACTGTTAGATGGAGTGGCGAAATGTCCGTACAACCCTGCAGCCAGCGTAACCGGAATTCTATCCCAGAGCTCCGAATACTTTTTCGGCGGCACTACAGATTTCTCCAGTTCGGACTCTTTGATTTCAAAGAATATCAATGGGGTCCCGTTGTTAAGGACTAAGCAGTACAATAGTTTCTGGTTAAATGATCCTGAGTTCGTTGGATCATTTGAAACCACCCAGTTTGTGTACTTTCTGTTCAGAGAAACTGCTGTTGAGTATTTAAACTGCGGCAAAATCGTCTACTCGAGAATAGCTCGCGTTTGCAAGAACGATCAAGGTGGTCATACGATGTTGCGGGACAACTGGACCACTTTCATCAAAGCCAGACTCAATTGTTCTGTTAGTGGAGACTATCCATTTTATTACAATGAAATACAAAGTGCACAGTATATTCCTGGAGAAAATGTGGTTTATGCGGCATTTACGACTCCTGCCAATAGCATTGCAGGAAGTGCTGTTTGTGCATTCAACATGACGGCGATAGACGAAGCATTTAATGGACCTTTCAAGCATCAACATGATATGGACAGTGCTTGGACGAGTCATGATGTACCTCATAGGGAACATTTGGAATGCAAGCCTTTCCGGCACAGCAGCCTGTTAGAAACTTCCAGATTTCAGCTTATGGACAATGCAGTTCAGGCAACCACTTTAGACCCTTTACATATTGCTAATTTGGAAAGGTTTACTCATATTGCCATTGACGTGGTGCATCCTCATATACATGTTATTTACGTGGCGACTGAAGAGGGGTCCATAAAGAAGCTAACTGCAATTCCGCATATGAAAATGGCTTGTGTGGTTGAGATCTGGCAAGTAACTTCGAACCACAGACATTCCATAAACAACATGCAGTTTCTTAAAAAAACCAATTCTATTTACGCCACAATCGAAGAGAGTTTGATAAGCATTCAAGCTGATCACTGCAGAAGGCATTCCTCTAAGGAAAGTTGTTTGAATGCCATGGATCCTTACTGTGGTTGGAATGAATTGGTGGATGGGTGCACGACAGTTCCAGAGGGCGATTCGCATCATAAGTACTGGAAACAGCTCAGTTTGTCATGTCCCGTCCTGGATACTCCCATTAACGGAGGTAAGCATATTTCGCATTTGATTTAAATTCTATATACTTTCCTGACTGTGTTTCCAGTCATTTATTGTCTCTATTTATCAATTAAAATATGTTTCGGTGTATTTTTCCACCATCATCAGTTTGTATGTGTAGCGTTGTTGCTGCTTTAAGCCTTGGCATACATTTAGCTACTACACTACGAATCAAAATTAATTCCTGGGTTTCAGTCATTTATTGTCTCTATTTATCAATTAAAATACGTTTCGGTGTATTTTTCCACCATCATCAGTTTTTATGTGTAGCGTTGTTGCACACACGCTACACATAAAAACTGATGATGGTGGAAAAATACACCGAAACGTATTTTAATTGATAAATAGAGACAATAAATGACTGAAACCCAGGAATTAAGTCGGTTTAGATTATGACCTACATAATCTAAACCGACCCAAATGGAAACACTTCAAATTAAGCAGTTTCATAAAAAAAATCCTGGATGGTCCGTAAATTAAGCCAAAAAACACTTTTCTGAAACACACTGAAGAAAAATGAAAATGTTCTCAAAATGTCTTAAATTTTACATCATTTTCAGCTCAGGGACGCGAGGAATGCATCTAACTCATTGAAAAACATGCTAGAGGTTTCAAATCGGAAATAATAGACATTTTCGGCACATTTTAAGCGTTTTTGAGCTTTCGCGATCTTCAACCGACGATTTATTCCTTATTATTGACCCAAACACTTTATAACTGCATATTTTTGACCTTCTTACGTCGAAAGGAATCGATTGAGCTCGAAAAACACGCATGTGAAATTTTGATTTTTTGCCGACATTTTTCATAGGGTGGGGGTCGATTTTTTGAAAAAATTAAAATTTTATAAAGATGTCTTAAATTTTACATCATTTTCAGCTCAGGGACGCGAGGAATGCATCTAACTCATTGAAAAACATGCTATAAGTTTCAGATCCGAAATAATAGACATTTTCGGCACATTTTAAGCGTTTTTGAGCTTTCGCGATCTTCAACCGACGATTTCTTCCTTATTATTGACCATTGACACTTTATAAATGCATATTTTTGACCTTCTTACGTCGAAAGGAATCGATTGAGCTCAAAAAACACACATGTGAAATTTTAATTTTTTGCCGTAATTTTTCCAAGTCGATTTTTTGAAAAAATGAAAATTTTTCAAATATCATTGTCATCAATTTCAAATATCTACTCGATTGGTGACAATTATTTCTTTCTTTACACTTTAATGTAAGGAAATAGAAGAAAGAAAACGATAATAGAATTTCACTCATAAGCGGTTAGGAATAGCCGACATAAAATCTCGGAAACAAGCTCATTCAATACTATTAAGAAAATATTTTCATTAAAGAAAAATATTTAATTAAGCATTATTCAATCAGCAACCAGCTGGCAGAACATATAAATGAAATTCTTTTGGATAATATGTTGTTTTTGTTGCAGAAAGCACCTTAAGATGAACTTCAGGGAACTGCTGCCCATTTACATTTCGTTCTCCTCTTGGGTTTGCTTAGCTGTAGCTTTGACGAAACCTGACTTTCGTTATATATCACGGAAAGGTTAGTGTTCAAATTAAGCGATCAATAAATGCTTCAAGTGTACAGGGCGATTCACGTAGACCGTGCATTAGCAGTTTTCTAACTTGCAGATGTTTTAGAAACTTCAAACAAAACAAGTCGTGCCGAAGCCATGTAAAATACATTTAGCCCCTAGCGATACAGGGGGTACCAAAACGCATCACTGGAACAACTGGAACAAAAAAGTTTGTTGGTGCCAGTTAAAAAAGCTGATTTTTTTACATCGGAATCATAAAAAGTGTGCATTGAAAAAGCGGTCAATGAAATCAGTTTCGATACTTATTATGGATAAACTGCTGATTGAAGACGAACCAAATTTTCCTTTCTTCTTCTAAAAACGGAAAACTTCTAATGCACGGTCTACGTAAATCACCCTGTATAGGCACGTGCTGCAAATCAAATGGAAAAACTCATATATCCTTCTTATGTCGTAAAGCATTCTAAGCTGATATGCCGAGGCTAAGAAGCTTTTCGGAAACGATATCCAAGAAACTCTCATCACAGCAAATGTTATCAAGAGATTTAGTGGATCCACTAGATATATAAATGTACCTACTTGACCTTTTTGTGCTACCCTATCAATCTACCATGTGTATATACAAGTTGACATTTTAACAGGCATTTATTAGCGAATCCAGGATCTTGATCTGGGAGGGGCAGAGGTCATAAAAAAAGTTACATCGTTTTGTCGACGTATCGTAAAATCCAAGTTATTCTGAATTGAATTAACGTGTTTTTGAAATATTTAGTTTATTAATTTACAGAGGTGATCGTGTCGTTCGAGAAGCCACTGCAACTTAAGCAGTTTGAGCAAAAAAAAACTCCTGGATTATCCATAAATTAAGCCAAAAAACACTCACAAAGTTTGAGGCAAATTATCGTTTTCAGGCTAAATTTCAAGCAAGCGGTGTTAGTAAACTGCGCAAAACGATTTAAGTTAATAAACATTGTTTCTTTGGGTACCTAGCATGTATTCATTCCATTTG